TTCAATAGCTATGTTAAATTACCAAAGGGTAAACACCTTGACCATGACTCATGGCCGCCATGGCCCCTGTCGCGACGCCTCTGAAGCTCGGGATCGTTCGGTGAGTAGGGCCGGGTGCCCTGGCGAGAGGATCCAAGGTGATGGTCTCTGCCAGGTACAGTAAGCCACGGGCAACTGGGGAGCCCCACAAAAAAACAAAATTATGGGATCATAATAGAGTAATTCCCATTAATTGATGATTATGGGATATTAATTGGGATATATTATTGTACCAACTGAAATTGTTGTTTTTACAATTTCGTATATTAGCATTGTGACATTGTTCTCGGACATCAAGTCAAAATGCTAATGTTGACAGCTGTTGCAGTACATAGGGTTCCGAGATAATGTGGAGTTGACTGACAGTCAGGTTGTTATTTGCCACCGTTCACACGTGTCACAAAATAATGGTCCAAAAAAGAGAAAACTAGCACAAAATGACTGAGTACAGCTATAGGTACATGTTCAATCAAACGCTGAAGCGTGGGGAACCTTCATTTTTTGATGTTTGGGCACTAACAGAAGTCCTTAGCTCCAACTCCAGTCAACCCAGCAGACAAATCCCTTGTGCCTCTTGGACATCTGCCCTGACATCTCAGGATGTTCCGGCCCGGAGAGTCTTGTGTTATCTTATGTTGCACGGCCCGAAAAGTCATACGTAAGATTTTCCCCTGCAGAAGCCTGACCGGATTTGCCTATTTGCAGTTTCAAACTTGGGATCCACATATACAAGTAAGGCAAATTGAATCAAATTGATGCAAGAATTGATGCAAAAAATGATGCAACAATAGTGCAGCTGTCTGCCGGAGCGCCGATATTGGCCATGGCCTGTGTGCAAATTCTGCGGCTCGTCCATCGATGTGGGTGGTATACTGTGCAGGATCCATGCGGCGGGCCTGGCGAGATCTGAGATCTGTCCAGTCAGGAGCCGTGCACTGCACAAATACCGCGGGTGTTGATTATGTATGTTATACACAAACATATATCATATATATATATATTATATATATGTGTGTGTGTGTTAGTTAGTACTGTTAGTTAGCCTACTAACAAAGAAGGTTGCAAACTTCCGAATTGGTCATCCCAAGTAGGATGAACATATTACATCATATTACATGAAAATAGCGATGGACCAGCACAGAAAGCCAACCAAGCCAAGCAACCTGACGGCTACGCTGGGAATATTTTGCAGAGTACCTGTGGGCTCTGCAGCAAAGGTTGGCTGACGGCCAGGCCCCGGAACCCTGATGAATATCAAAATAGCTGGCAAAATCGGGCAGGTTGGCGACTAGATTTTCAAATAGATTTTCACAGTTCAGTCACCCTCGACGTCCTAGACTCCTAGACCCTACGCGCGGCACGGGTAGCGAAATCTGGAGCCGGAATTCGAACCTGACGTCGCTGACGTCCTGCCCCACAACGCTTTGAGCAGTATGGAGGGAGGTCTGTTTCGCGCGGTGGGTTCGTATAAACAATTCTTTGAAACACAAAGGTCTTGGAGCCTGAAGCCTTCAATGCAACCGTCACGTGCCTTGCCAGATATTTTCCACATGTCTCAAGAGTTCAACTGCTTGAAACATCGTTGCTGCGCCTCGTGGTGCTGTTATTAGGTGCTCCATCGAATGGAGCAGAGGCTTCACCTCGCACAGGAGCACTGAAATGGCTGGGATTTATCATGGTATGTCATGAATAAACATGAATAACCACCCGAATCCGGTACTTCATAGGTTTTGATCCAGCCCATCATGTCCCAAACTTGTTCCAGGGAAATCTTGCAGTAAGAATGAGAAACTATGTTCCTGCAGATCCATTGAAAATGTGAAACCCAAGAAGCGGGCTGCCTGTCGAGTTGTCCATCTTGGATTGGGACGGATGGGTCAAGAAACGAGGGATCTCCAACATTTCAATCCAGTAAGTATATACCCTCTGGTAAACTAACAAAACTATGGAAAATCACCATTTTTAATGGGTAAATCAACTATTTCTATGGCCATTTTCAATAGCTATGTTAGTTTATCAGAGGGTAGCCAGTATGAATCCAAAGTCTTTGGTTCCACGGGTCATGCGTAGATGATATCTGAACGCAAGTGATGTCGCCTGTCATGACCAAATCGAATGTGAAATCGTGGCTTCCCTTTTGGGATTGGGCATGTCAGTTGTCTAAGTTGCCCAAACCATCCCAAAACCCTCTGTCATATTGTCATTCCATCATGCTGTTGGTTGGTTAATGACGGGATCCCCCCATGGATTATGATAATCCCCAATACATAGGGGCAGTATAACCCCCTACGATCAACCCATCATCATTTACATTAATGTATAATATCCCCGCAGTCTTGATGGTTAAACCTTCAACATGTTAAAACCATTTCTTTCATCCTGGATCATAATGGTTGGTTAAATCCCTATTTTTCATGGTACATTCCACAACTAGTCATCAACCAACAGGGGTGTCAAACCCAGCCACTGCGGCCACTGCTCCCTGTAATGGGCATCGCTGTATCGCAGCTGGCCTTGTGCAGCTTCCTGACATGGCCTCAGGCTAAAGCTATCTAGATAAGATGAGTCCAATGAATGCACTCACAAGTAAAATTATGGATGTTGTATGAAGCTGTTCATTTTTGGTGGAATGATTACAATATAAGATGTTGATAGATCTTGATTGTTTTCATGTTTACTTTTGGCTTTACCCCACTACTGTGATCAAGAAATGCGATCACAAGTAAGCATGAAGCCAGCAAAGTCTCGAGTGCATTGAGGGTGCCTTTAGGCGCACTAAACCTCCAAGCTGTCAGCTGGGCCAGGTCATACTCAAACCGCTGCTTGGGCGAATTCAGCACCTCTCAATGCTTCTCGGAAAGGCGAAACCAGAAATGTATAGACATGTCTGGAAGCAAATCAGTTCGTAATTTACAGTACATGTAATTACAATTGCATACAAATTGCGCGAAAGGAGAAAGGAGGACCCAATGATTTAGAAAGTGTCTGCCACAGGTAGCAGCACTAGATCTAAGGACTTTGGTCATCCTTTCTTTCCTTCACCAGTGCAGTATCTGTACCTCCTTAAGGTCGACAGGTCATGACAAGTCCACCATTCACCTGATACGCAACATTGAGCTTCACCATCTGGGCTTCTCGCCTGAGATGGAGCATGGCGAAATATGGTGTAGCTGGAAGCACTCAGTGCTGCTGTATGGTGCGAGTGTCTCGTTCCCAGCTGTATGTCTTTTCAGACTTGAGGAATGAATTCAGGAGTTCATGTTCCGAAATCTTACATGACCAGCGATCCATCTGCGAGGGATTTTTCCATGCATTATCATACGGCAATCCTGAAACCTGTGGTGAACATCATCACCCGCAGGATCCGCAGGACCAACTTGGGACGAGAGAGCCGTGTCTCCCGGACTCTCTCTTCGTCGTTTCGTCCAAGTGCGCTAATTTGTCTGGGTGATACCTGCCCGCACCAACCCAGCTGTCAATGCAGAGACAAGAACCAAGAGCAACCATGAGCAACCCCATCTGCGTCAACTGTTGGACCAAGTCCAACACAGCACCACAAAAACTGAAGCTGCCAGAAGTACAAACACACCTTCTCAACAAGCGTACAGATTGAATATGCCTTGTGCATGCCAACTATAGATGCACTTGATGCACCAGCATGAGAAGGCGCACTGCTTGCACAAATTGCGGTAGGCTCGTTTGACCTGGAATTTGAGCCACACCCAATAAAAAGTATCAGGGCCAAAACAAAGAATCAAAAATGAAAGGTTTTCTCAATCCCATGGTTCGTTGTACTTTCATGACCTCTCACGATGTGTTGCCACAGTTCCACAGCCACCCATTGAATTTGCATCTCTATAGGCATCTTCCAGGAGTGCTGCCTCGTTGGCACTGGCTTTGGCCTTAAGGCCAAGGACAGAGTAGTGATCTTGCTCCTGCCAACCCCTTTTGCAGCCATCAGGGCTGCTTGAAACCCAGACAAGTTCGTCATATACAAAATCATACAACACCTATATTCTTAGTGACTGTCACTGATTGAAACTCGGCAGGATGTGAAACATAATTGATTGTATTAAGGATCCTGCACTGCACGTTTCCCCAAAAAGTGAAACGACCGAGCACAACAACAAAGGAACTCTCCAGAACGAGGCTGCAGCAAACAGAAGTCAGTCCTGGTTCACCATGCTTCTCAGGCAACTGTTGATCAGAGCCTCTAGCGAGGGTGAATTCAACAGTTCTAAATCAACGGGGAAAGGTGAGCAGAAATGGATCACATATGACGCAAGGAAGTAGCAAAATGGGATGTGATGCATGATACTGAGCAGCTGCTTTCTTATTTACCTCTAACTCGAAGATGCTCGAAGATCTGGAAATGATCTGGAAGGCACCACATGCGATACGACCTCACAAAATGGAATCCCTGGATGCATCGGGAATCCATTCGCCTTGGCACGGTTCGGCGACCAAGTCGCAAACACCTACCTAAATAGTGAAGATCGAGGTGTGTTGATACTAATTGGCACTCTGATATCTTGCCAATCTTGCATGTGCGGCTCTTGTTTGTCCATTTGTTTCTGACCGTACTGGCAACTCAAGCAACATGGTTGCAGAAAGAGTGGAAGGAAGTGTGAGTAGTGACTTAACGTAGTTGACAGAATGTTGCCCCATGATCTTTTTGATGGAACCAGAACCTATATATGTTTGACTTGGACAAATTATGATCACCATGTTTTGCTCCTTCCTATCTCTCGTGCCGCCTTGAACAAATGGCCAGACAAGAGTTTGGCAAGAGAACATGCACCAAGTGCTGCATGTGCTTTTTTTGGGGGGTGTAAGTTTAGGCGAGCATACATACAGTATCATCCAGTGATCTATATAATATATATATATACATATTTCATTACTATTCATTACTTTTCATTCCTTATATCATTGCAACCGGGCTACGGGGTCCCCAACTCGTGCTGCTGGGAGGGTGTACCGCTTGGTAGTAACCACTAGGCTGGATGGTAATCCTGACTTCGTCCCCGCCGCTTTTTGATCAACGATCTGGAGCATCTCCATCGATGGGAGAATATGGGGTCCTTTGACCTCACACCAGCCATGTCGATGGCCGAAGAAAGGGGAGGAACACCACAACTCCAAATAATTCCAATGCACTGCAAAACCTTTGGTTTTTCCATTTGCAAGTGAGCTACTTGTAAGACTCTATTTCCCAAAATGGAATATCTATCTTGCTTCGTTTTATATAAAAGGTCGCCTTCGTTCTACAAGGGTTTCCAACAAACATTCACACATTTACGTGCGGTATCGCGCAGTCATCATGTCGAGCTAGTGGCAGCAGCAATGGCAAAACTTGTAAAAAAAAGTGCCAGGATGTGCCTGGATTAGTACTGTGACTCGTAGAAGCGACAAAGGTGCTAGAAGAAGCAACAGTGGTAGCGCAAGCAGCAAAAGCAGGAGCATAAGCAGTAGCAGTAGCAGTGGCAGTAGCAGTGGCAGTAGCAGCAGCAGTAGCAGTGGCAGCAGCAGTGACAGCAGCGACAGCAGTCACAGCAAGTCACAGCAAGTCAGCAGTGACAGCAGCAGCTACAGCTACAAGCACCAGCACCAGCACCAACAACAGCGCCAGCAGCATCAGCATCAGCTGCAGCTGCTGCAGCAGCAATCGCGGTGATGCTGGTGATGCTGGTGCTGTTGGTGCTTTGCTGGTGCTGGTAAGACAAATGCCTGCAGCAAAAGCACAACTAGGCCCTACAGTGGCAATGGTAGTTGTCGCAGTAGTAGCAGGATGGGGAAGAAGGTTTGCCAGCTCCTGGCCAGGTCCATGCCAAGCTGCTTCTCGTGAATTTTGCCTTCGTTTTTGCCTTCGTTTTGATTTGGCTTCGTTCCAGAACGCAAAACCAGACGGGAAAACGAAACCGCCGGATGAAAATGCAAAAAAGATGATGAAGAACACTTGCAGGCGGAAAGAAATCACAAGAGGAAAAGCAGAAGCTTGACAAAATGTAAATGCAGCAGGAGGAAAAACAAGATATAGAGGAAAAGAAAAACCGGAATCAACAGAAAGAAACGAAGGCGGAAAGGAAGACAACAGAAACTGTCACAAGAAAGGCATGAAAGCAAGAAAGGAAACAAAAGGAAGACAAGGGAAAACAGGTAAAGGCCTAACAATAACTCCATGATACACCATTCTTGACGTTCGCTGCTTACGTGAAAATCTATCAACAAACTTTAGTTGTAAGGTTTGCCTTCGTTAGAAAAGGTCGCCTTCGTTTTGCAGGTTTTGACCTATATTCCATTCCAATACATATCTCTTACATAGACCTTTTTAGTGGTAGCCCAAGTCGATTGGCATGTCCTGAACCCAACGAATCAAGAATACCCCTGAATTGTTTCCAAATCTTCAAGCTCTTGGAACATGCCACAAATCAAAGCTTCACCAAGCCCGCACAGTCCGTTTGAAAAGAACCTTGAATGGCAACTCCCAGTTGGCCCCGCACCTGTGCAGATTTCGCACAAACCATTGGATGCCATAACCGCTTCAATACCCCACTCCTCCCAGAAAAGGGGGTGAACACTTTCACTATCCACGATGAAGTACCCTGCTGAAGGTCTTCAAGGCTTTCTTAGAAGGCCCTGGAGGCAAAGAGATTTTTCGGTGTGAGATGGTGTGAGTAGAACTATACGAATTGGGAAGCACGGCCTGCAAGGATGTCAGAACAAGCGCTAGGTTCTTCCTCTTTCGTGGAAATACCGTTAATTTTGGCAGAGCATACCAGCACAACTTGCTACCCCACCGCTCATCGCCATTCACTTTTCACGGCCACTTCAATGCGTCTAAAACTTATTGAATGGGGATCCTATGCGAGCACACCAGTACATTTAACATCATTTAACTTTATGGTCGTTTTCTTATCTAGCTTTTGACCAAACAGGCAAACACCTACATGAACATTGATGCATCATAATTATATGTAACAATATGTAATATAAAACCTTAGCCTGAATCCTGAGGTCTGGCTGCATCTTCGTATTTTTGGTAGATCGGTCCATTCAGCGACATTGCTGCGTTCCACCAACCTGCTCCGATGTCTCCGCAGAACGTGAGATGCAAACGGCCTGAGATCTTGGCTCAACAAGTGCCCAACTGGGCCAACTGTTGGTTGGCAAAGAATAGCACCCAAGACCAAGAGCTCCCAAAGTCGATCCAATGTGATGATGGAATGGAAGACAAATCCTTCACAAATCCTTCCGCTGTCTTCCCATCTGCACCACCACACCACCAACAATCACAAGTTCCATTCACGCAGTCAAGCAGGGAATCTATGGGAATCTGAGATCCGCTCAACGGTCAGCAGGATGCACAGAGCAAGCACCTAGGGCAAAATGAAATTGGACACGGCTAATTAACGCTAATTATGCTTAATTATATCACGAAACGCCATCTGACTCCTGGGCATCCCCTGGCAGAAAAATTCTAGCGTTCCACCCCTTCTCTTAGGATGTCGTAGGTCCTTGCATGTCCTTGCTGTTGCTTGTTCCCATGATATCCCAAACTCGGAGTTCGCTTGCCGCAGCAGCAATGGTTAAAGGATGTTAAAGGTGTTGCAGACTGTGCACTGAGCTTGAGACAATTCCAGCGGCCCACGGCAAATGGTGACTCTGACGCATGTCCGACATGGACATCGCCAAGTTCTTGCTGCTAGGGAGCCTGGGAACGTGGACGACACTGACATGACATGCGATTGCGGAGATGACATGACATGAGATGACTATCACAACATTAACAGGCAAGATACTCGCTGGCAAACAACTCCGGTGGAAACTCCGATGGCCTAGATATGATTAGATCACTGTGTTGATGAGGATATCACATCAACATAGTTCAACATACGAGTACATTGAACACAATGACACAATGTGCAAAATCATGGAATCATGAACAACCAGGCCCTTGATGTCGCTCCCTCCCTCCATCTCCCGCCTGAAATGACGGCGATCGGTCACTGTGACCTGGCTTGAGACCGCCCATGGTTGCGTCATGCAGTAGGTTGAGACAGGAACATGTCATAGTCCAAGATAGTCCACGTAGATCCAAAACGATCCAAATATATCTATCAGCAATACCTATCTATCTACCTATCTATTTATCTATCTGGAGATATGTGCAACGGAGGAACTAGAATCTACACAGGTGGTCAACCACATCCTCTCCTGTATCCAACGCCAAAGGATCGCCCCCAACTGGCCCCAACCCTCTTGCATTTGATATCTGGGCCGTTGAGTTCCCAACTTCCCAGAATTGGTTGAAAGTTCATGCGAGTTCATGAAAACTCTCAAACATTCTTTCTTTTTCAACCGGCAGCCCTAATACTTGCAACATTTGGACTTGGATTTGGATCGTGAAATTCGGTGACATTCGATAGATCTTGGTACCCAACAGCTGGATGCGAGGTCGGCAAGGGGCCGGAAGGCCTTCGTGCGATTTCGTGCGCGGTTGGCAACACCAGTGCAACCGCCCTTGTGATATCTCAAGATACCCTCTGGTAATTTAACATAGCTATTGAAAATGGTGATTTATAGTGGATGTTCCCATTAAAAATGGTGATTTTCCATAGTTATGTTAGTTTACCAGAGGGTACCCTACATTGCCCTACATGTTCAGCAAGGGAATTGGCCCCCTGAGCTTCATGCAGGTCTGGTTTGTTGACACTCTCCTTTTCACGCCTGTGCTGCAAAAAACAGAAACTCCGTGGTCACCAAAAAGCTACCCATAACCTGGAAAGCTAGCACATAATAATTGGCATCCTATGGTTTTTTTATTTGTGATATGCTGGAAAGTAGCCCTGTGTATTCAGATGTATTCAGCAATGTATTTCTCTGAGCTATTTAGAATCCATTTTTGCTTCATCTACTGTGCACCAGCTATGTGATATCCTGAGATGTCCTGACAGGCAAGGACATGTGACAAGTCAAACAAAGCCCTCAGTGCCCAGCAGAAGGGATTGGACTTGAGGATCTTCCATCAAGTCATCTAAAGACCTTAGAGAAATAGACAACTTGCCACAACAGGGCAGGGCAAAGCAGTCAATGGATTGGTTTAAGGGAAAATCTACAGGAAACCATAGATTTTCCCATTACATATGGGGCTTTCCTGTAAATTTTCCCTTAAACCAATCCATTGAAGCAGGGCTATAACAAACATCTAAGGTCTGTAGGACAGTCACCTTTCTGCCATCAAGTCAAGGAATGTCGAGTCGGCACAAAAGATTGACAGATTCCAAGTGAACAGCAAACAAAAGAATGCACATTTATAATATTTACATATAAATAATTAATATTAACTAACTATATATATATATATAATATTATATTATATTATATTATATTACTATATATTATATTATATTATAATATATTATATTATATTATATTATATTATATACACATATGCAGCAATTCGTGATCAATACACCTGCCTTCTTTTGAAGTAGGTAGACTGATCATGATGGATTATCACAGATCGGTACTCTTTCCTGATGCTGCCTGCTTTCTGCAGTTCCTACAAGGGATTTGGCATTTGGAAATTGAAAGTTCCCGCAGGGAATTTCGCATCTTTAGCAGAAGAAACTCCAAATTCCAAAGAAAATAATCAGTATTTAGCAAGCCAACTCGAACGTACTCCAACTGAGTCAAAGACAAAGGCTTCGGAGTGGTCGTGGTCATTGTTGTAGGCGTCGATGTTGTCATGTGCCCTGTCGTTTGCTCATGCTCACCTGCCATGGGTGAATGCCGGGTGCTTCGATCACTCACCATGATCACAATCACGGACGCCCATTTGCTCTAGAGATCTCTAGAGCATCTTGCACCGATTTGGGGATGTGATCTTTACTATCGCACTAGTCACTAGAGCCTACATGAGCCTGCCAAATCTGCCAGTACTTGCGCAGTCTAATGGATCTATAATGGATCTAATGGCTAAGTGTGTGATTCTCCCACCAAATGTAAGAATCGCATACGTTGAGCATACATCAATCTCACCGCCATTTTTCGTGCTCTGCACGTAACTACCGGGTACTACCGGGTGAAACAATGCATCAACGGCTGCAGTCAGGGACTGCATCACGCACGTCAGCCATTTTCAATGGCGTCCTCGTCGTCTTCCTGGTCTTCTCCATCGCTGTTGTGATCCTCTTCCTCGCTCTCCTCGTTCAGCTCTGGAAGCAACAAATCCTTCTTCTCCCTGGGCGCAAATGAACAGCAGGGTGGTGAGATTCAGCTTCGAGGTGGTGATCCTTCCACAGGCGAAAAGCCTTTGGGTTCCAAGCCTTTGGAAATCCGTCGCAATTCCATACGTTTACCATCATCTTGAAGGGACCCCATGAACCAATGCATCACCCCAATATCTCACAGGCGGGAAATGCTTCAATATCTCAACAATCTGAGATGTTCGAGTCGAGCCCCAAAAACAAGTGACATGAACGACTCCTTCGACTCCTTACAAGTTATGATCTCTTCATATCTCTTCTGTATTCTGTATCAACGTATCCCTTGCCGCCTCACTTCACCTCTTGCTGCTGCCTTCACTGCTTCAACGTTCACCTGCCGAAGGGACTCCGCCTCGGGGACCGTCCCACAATATCATGCGCTGAACACCAACAAAGGCGATGGATGATCATGGGTGTTCGTACATGCTCGTCCTCCCAAAATCCTGTAGAATTTTCCAATTGTGGGAGGCTTTGACCTGTTTAACCTGTCTCCATGTGCAGGGCAGTCGGGCGTTAGCAAAGGGACTGTGACATACTATGACATACTATGACTACGAGCGACTCAATGCAGTACTATGCAGTACTGTAGCTGAGAAAAGTCTCAGTCAGCTTGCAGTTCATGGGCTGAACATCGATCCCAATCGTTGGGCGTCCGGCAGGGTTTCCGAAGATTGCAGCAAAGTCTTCGTAGGTTGCGACGCCCATTTCTTTCCTGAGTGGCAGGCTATCCGGATGCGCATGTTCAACTCTTGCGCTTGGCCGGGAGATTCAAATGGGAAAAAACAACAACATCAGCAGCTACCATGCAGCTAAAATGCCACCATCCGGCACATTCCGGCACAATATGCACCATCCCAAGTGAGCTGCAGTCTGCAGTTCAGAAATCCCATCAAGTCCCATCAAGTCCCATCAAGTCCCATCAAGTCCCATCAAGTCCCATCAAGTCCCATCAATCATCCAATCATCGAACCAGGACTCATGTCCACCATGGTGATCATTGCTTCCAGCTCTTCTGGGGCGATCTCGCGGCCCATCCTCAAGCTGACAATTTTGGCCAAGGATGGGATCACTGGGATCACTGGGATGACTGGGATGACGATGAAGACCACGTAAATGATCGTACATGTTAATATATGTTTATGGTGATGAATGGTGAGGGCACATGTAACATATCAGACATATCATGTCTGCCTCTTCTTGATTCTTCTTGTAGACACAGCCTGCACCATCATCATCGACAATATACTGTCAGCGATATATTAAAAAAATAAGCCAACGGTGCCTCATATCATGGACCAACCCTCGGCTTACCCCCGAAATACTCATATATAACTCAAATAACTGTTTGTCAGTACCCGCTTGGAGCGTTTTCAAGGCATCCTTGCCGCCACAATAAGTAACATCCACATTAGTTTCGCTATGAGTCATATGGTGCAGTGCAAAATGATGTCAAACATGCCCAGTGCATATGATCCCTACTGAAATCTAATTATATATGATCAGTTTTTCCACTGAGTATCATGTGGTTGAGCAACCCTTGGTAGCTTCTTAGCTCCCAGCGAAAATACATACAATAAGATTAAAAAATAATAATACCGATGAATCCCATTTAGCTCCTTAGATCTCCTTAGATCCCTCCTAACCACCCAACTTTGGCAACTTCGCATAGTTTCTGCAGAAAGAGATGTCGCAAAACTTTGCTGCTGATGGCCTGGCAGTGTCACCAGAAATCACCACACGAATCTGGACCTTCCCCCGTAACTGAGCGAGATGGAATTCTGCGAAAATACGTTCAAACAATTTTGAATATATTTCAATAACAGTCACATTAAAATGATTTCATATAACTTAGATGCTCGAAGTTCGTGTACTCATATCTCAAAGATCAAATGCCAGACTTTTGATTCACCTCGAACCTCGGCATGCGGCCACAGCCATCCCACACATCCCACACCCCACCCCAGGCGCCCCAGGGCCCCAGGGCCCGCACCTCGCAATTGTCCAAGTCCTGCATGGATCTCAGGACAAGCCTGGACCTCTTGGGAATCCTGCCACCCATAATGTATCATCATGTATCAGCCTGTTCAGTCGCTGAAGTAGCTATGGGTTCCTTGATTGAGTCATGTTCGAAGTTGAATGGAGATATTTGGAGTCTTTATTTTGTATACATTCTCACTTTGAGTTTCGCTTTGTCCGTTTCCACCGAATGCAGTATGACAAGAAACTAGTGTTATTCGCAAGTGAATGAAAACAAGCAACTAAGACCAAAGAATCTGATTCATCAAAACAACAAATTCTCAACTATTACTCAATAACCACCTATTTATAACCAATTGATGCTGAAACTATAGGCGTTCAGTTTCTTCTGACTTGACATCCGGGCGATTTCCAGCAGCATCCGGCAGTCCATTTTCTGGAAGAGCTTTCGGAGCAGCTGTTCATCCAATGACACCGAACCGATGGGTGGAGGCTTCTCTTTCAAGTGTTCATCTCGCTTGTTGGCCTTGAAACAAAGACGAAGCCATGAGGCTGCGCCAGGCTGCGCTGTTTTGTAGCCAAGTTTATGTGAGCCAGATAATGGCGATGACGATGACGATGGCGATGGCAATGACGAGGATGATGAGGATGATGATGATGATGATGATGAGGATGGTGATTACTATTCCCCCCATTATGACAAATGTCATTAAATATGATTATAATATATTATTATATAAGATTATTTAGTTGCGATGATGAGAAGCTATGAAGGTGCTGTCGGTCATCGCTGCTCGCCTGCATCTTCACCACTGCTTTTTGGATGGTCCGCACCTCAGTGGGACATTGGGAGATGCCACCTGATGCCACCTGATGCCTGTGGGGGCAAGGAACCCCATGGATACCCCCAAAGAAATCAATCTCTATGCGAGAAACAAAGAAAGATGGGTTACAGGATGGATTGAACAATAGACTCTGTAGAAATTTCATGATAGCTTCAGCTGAATATCAATCTCTGGAGATCTTTCCAGCGTTTCGATCTGGCAATAGCCAAGTGGCTCCTCTGGTATAGCCTGTCTCCTCTGCTGCAGCTTGCAGTGCTTGAGGCAACTTCACCTGTCAGCTGTGGTGCTCAGAAACATGGATTTTGTTTGAGAGTTTGAGGGAAAAACAGCATCCAGTGATTATAGTCATCGTTTTCCGCGTGAAAATAGCCACTCTGGGGGAAAGATGGGGAAAGTAGACCCCATTTCTGGACCAACCCACAAATTTTTCAAAACATGCCGCGCCTCCAAAGGCACACCGAGCTGCTGACGAATCTTGGGAGAGATGTAGGCAGGATCCACGTCCTGCGAATAGGCAGGACGCGCCTCCCCTGGCTATGGTGATTTGGATGGGATTTTGATGGGATCTTAATGGTCATTCAACCTAGCAAAATGGTGATTTTGATATTCTAGGTGTCAAATGTAATTTTAATTGTGACATGTAACATCATGTAACATGTGTGACGACATTTGGAAGTTTATTGAGTATGCTGCACTATGCTATGAATATTTTACTCTAGCGCGCGAGCGAGCTTTTTGGCTCACACATCATCACCCTAGCAAAGAAAATGAAATTCAGAATTCGTAATGACAACCTCTTGACTTTGAGATGGCTGGAAATATGAAGTTAAGGTCCGAAATGACAAAACCCTCAAAACAGTGCTTAGACGTTCCTAACCACGCCCCAGATATAATTTAGCCGCTCAAACGCTCAGCAAGGATTCGCATCAGCGGTCCGAGTCATCTGAAAGATCCTCCGCATGATGCATCACATCCAGATCCACTTCAGGCTCAGGCCTTGGCTGCACCGAGGCACTGGTGACATTGGAAGACTCAGCATTTTTGGTGGGCTACACACCGAGAGTCATGGAGATTCTTGTCATTCTTGATACATTTTCTTATTATTTCTTATTCATCTTTCCCCTTTTCCGTTTCTTTTTCTTTTTTTGCTGGGCTATATTACCATCATATACAGTATTATAATTACATCACTTATATCACCATTTTCCTGTTGATCGTTCGATTGGTACAGGAGGGTAAACTAGCAAAGATGTGGAAAACCCATGCGTTCCTTTTAAGCAAATAATTCACACATGTCACAGCCGTCTCAGCTGGCGCCTGGAGTTCTTTGGAAATCTGGGCGCAAGGCGGAAGTCCTGCAGTTCAGTCATTGGTGGATCTTGGTTGTTGATCCCTTGCCAAAAAGTTTTCAAGTCATGACACTTCGTGTTTTTTTATGAGGGGCAAACAACAGTATAATAAGTAGGATAATATATAATTAGCGGGATTAAACCCCTTACAGTACCGGGATATTATTGTGAAATAAGTACGGGAAAGCCAATCTAAATCATATCTCATCCCCAAAAAAATCAAGGATCCTGAAGATCACATGGCTATGACATCCTACAATCCATCCAGCTGTGGCATGATGACTTCACGGCTGTCCCGCTTCACTGTCTTGAAGTCTGCCTTGGCTTCAGGACGAGACCATGGTGAGACCATAAAGAAAGGGAGTCATTGGTGATTCACAAGTGGAATTCACAAAGCTTGTTCAAGCATCATGAAACTACATTTTTCGCCAGGGCTTGTCAGATTTGACATGAAAGCACATCAAACTTCAAAAAAAGAGGGACACTCCTTGTATCTCCTTGTCAGTTGCAGCTGATAGCTGTGGGCAAAGGAAGCAACTGCCTTTAATGTACCATGTTCCGCATCTTTCAGTACCATTGGATGAAACACATGCCATGCCAGGCTGGTGATATTTGACGATCCAATGCCAAGCTGCTGCCATGGTCACGAGGATTCCAAAATCCGCACAGGATTTGCAGGGATGTGAACTCAACCAAGAGAAGCAAAGAAAAGTTTGAGGTTGGAGGCTTGGCTGGGCAAGAGTTTGTGGCAGCAATGCTGGAAAGGAGTTTAGGTCCTCATCATGCTCATTTTGAGACATCGCAATCTGTAGTAATCTGTGGGGAAGTACAAACGACCAGGTCTACAGTACATCTTCAGCCTTCAGCCGTTCTGAACTGTGCTCAAGTGCCTGTTTGAATGTCCATCATAAGTCATGGTGCTTCCAAAGATCTCCTTATATCCTATCTCTTTCTGTACCTAAGCCTGAAGGTAAATGAAACATGGCCTAGCACATTCAGCGCTGCCTTTGGAGGTGTTAGGCGTCCCCAGAGCCCAAACAGCACTGGCCAAGACGAGTGCCAAGACAAAGGTCCTATAGATTACTATTATATATATATGGGTGTATCTGCTAATGGGCTATATCAATGTATATCATGGGTATCCAAACATCTCCATAGCGCCGAAGCCAATTAGAATCGTTGCTGTTCGGCACCTGGAGCGGTGGACAGCTCGCTTTTCCGCATCACCGCCTGTGGCTGCGAATGTTCATCCCAGAAATCTCACCCTTGGTGGAGTGGAATGCCCATCCAAGATCATCCAAGTATGGGATTAAAAAAAAGACATGATAAGACTATGAGAGCAAGACTTGTTGGCATTCCCCAAAAGCTCTGCATGAAGGATGTGATTGATATCTGTGATGGATATAGAAAATTTGATGGAATTAGATGGATATCTGTGGCACCCTGCCTCTTTTGGCAAGCACCTTGGCGGTCAATCATTTGTGTAGAGTGAGGATTCATGAAGATTCCTGCACCATCCGGTTGCCATATGCTGCGATACCAGCTGAACATGCCCATACATGTCCCACATTTCCCAACATTTCACCCATATTTACTGACAGTGTACATCAGTGCATTTGAGGGACTACGGATCCTGACTACCTCGTCATCTTGCAGCACCCAAGGACCGCAAGGATTTACTCCTCAAGTCATCTTGCAGCATGACCCCCATGCAGCTGGTTTAATCTCATCCAATGCGTCCAAAGTGCTCCCAATAAGGCGAGCCATCGCACACGGCAACATCCTCCTCATGACACCTCAAATCAGCATTCATCAGCCACCTGCTAGGTCTCATCGGAGCAGTCGGTGGTTTGCTTTCTGCAGTAAGCTGGGAATACTGGGATCCTTTCAGAAATCATACAAAAATTCAAAAATCATACAACATCTATATATCAAAATCTACAACCACACACAGCTGTCCACAAATCTGCGCTGCCGCCATGGTCCACTGAGCTTCATGGCTTGTCTGTCGGGCAACGACTGCAACCTGGCGTGTCGAAGGGGATCATCCACAGCTGGAAACAGCAGGTCCAAATCACACTGAAACCTGGAAAAAAAGGCAACTGAATGCAACTGAATGCAGGGATCGCCTGATCTGGCTGTAGAAAATTCATGTTCAAGATCCAAATCAACAATGAATGTAAAAAACAAAACACAGCTGACCAAAGAGTGTATGTAATCCTAACTTCGGAAAGGGCTATATCTTTGAGAATCAACATTCCAGGAACGATGCACAAACACACAAGATTCCTGCAGAATGAGTTGACAGATTTGTGCTGTCACAAGGTAACTCTGGCCCTTGCTTCGTCGCTGCCTTTCAACTGCTTGGGGCAGGGCTTGATTTGAGACCTGAGTTCAGGGAAACTTGCAGTCAGATCCGGTAGTGCTAGCAAGCTAGATGCCCCAAAAACGATGCGGCGGAGGTACAGTGTATATATATATATATATATATTATATTATATATATTATATATATATATATATATAATATATAGATTCTATGTTATCGAGGCAATTGCGCGTCATACCATATGTCGATTTCCCCTAAGCGAGTCCCTGATCCTTTTCACATGTTGCCTTCTGCGATGCTTTAAGGGAGGCAGGGGGTTGCAAACCCTTCTGAGACCTTGCAACTGTGAGCTGGGGCAAGTGTGTCGCATTGTGATCTTTGCAAAAAAATGCAGCAAAAAAAAAAAACAAGCAATTTATAATTTGACAACGCACAATGTTTTTTAATGTTTTTTATCAGTGAAAGAACATGTCACTAGAGCAGACTAAAGCTTGTAAAACTGTTCCATAAACTCACAGCAAAGGAAAGAGTGGTGCAGTTTTCTTTGCAACAAACACAGTTTTCCGAAAGAACGTCCGGACAGTAACCTCAACATTGGGGCGCAATTTCCCGGAAAGAGCGGCGCAGTTTCCTCCCAATAACCTCAACTACGGTCACAGTTACCCAAAGGCCCCAACAAGCAACTGCAACTGTGGCGCATAGAACTGCCACTGCCAAAACTGCCACACGTCTATAGCACTGCGTCAGTCCGAATTATTCACCGGATCACTCAATTGGTAGGAGCAACGGGCGGTGATGAAATGAACTGCTGCAATAAACGTGTGGCGGTTTTATCGCATCTGTCAGGATCAGCAGTGACTTCCAACATTAACTGGAAGACGCTGCAAATCCTGACAAATAGCAAAGGTACACCTCGCACATGACCCCAGGAGCATGCGCACCACAAGGCGGTCTCGCCTTGTTTGGCCAGTGACTAGCATCCAACATCATCCAACAATGAGTGGACAGTCTTTTACATAAGAGCGGTGTAAGAGCTGTGCGGTGGAGGTCGCAGGAATGGTCAGCACGAGCCTTCAACAAGCGCACAACTTCGACCTGAGCCAGACCTGATGCGCTTGCAAGAGCAGTCTTCCACAAGTATCTACCACATCGTTGTCAGCACGAGCTGCTTGGACATGCTTGGACCAAGCAAGGTTACTGAACGCATTCGGCATGCAATGTCCGAAGGTGGCTTACCCATGCTTACCCCAGACCGCACCTGAGAAGCCGTGGAAATTCGGATTAGGCCAAGGCTGAGCTGCTGCTTCACCCTTGAAGACGTCCGCCAGAAACCGAATGCAGCAAACGCATCTCCTTCTTTGCTTCGCCCCACCATCCCCCAGAATAATAATCGGGGACGGGCAATGCAACTAGCTGCAATCCGGGAAAATCCAATCGGTCGGGGTCATCCAGAATGGTGCCCTCGTGTAGCAATCTTTGCCTAAACCGTGGCACTGCGTCCCTGAGCCAGGACTTTGCCGGGCACGAGGCAGGAGTTGCGGAAGTGATGGAAAGGCACCGGGCTGCAAGTGGCTCCAACTCTTCAAAAAATCTTAAAGATACTCACTATTACTTACTCATTCAATTACTAGAGAGGTCTCTAAAACCATCTCAAAGCAAATGCCAAAGAATTAAAAACCTACAGGACCATTCCTGAAATCCCCATATGTTTCTTATTGTTTCTTAGCTTTCTGGGCAGGGCACCATTTGTAGCGGACATCCACCGCAAGGTTCGAGTCCTTGCAGCGCGCAAGGGGTCCCAAGTTTCCCATCACTGATGGCGAACACAGTAGCTGTCCTGATCGTTCTGCACCAGGAACTCCACATCACAGTGCAGTCGGCCCTGCACCCGTAGCCACCTGGCGGATAGCGGAAGCATCTGCGGTGGTGTTTAAATGACGTAAATTCATGTGAATCTGGCGAATCTGGCAAGTGGATGCGTTCGATTGGGATTTCAATCAACTGGCTTTCAATTAGATTGCAGCACCTCAGCTCTGCAACCTAGCTTTGTCATGTTGCATTTGAGTCAAAAAGGGGCTCAGTACCAAGTCTGTCCAATTTTCCAACCTGGTCTGGCCATAGGGAATACCTCAAAAAATGAACAAAACCATCAAACCATCCCTGATCCTGATGGATCACTACGCCGTATTCCCCTTGCAGAAGTCCTGTGTTGATCCATGATAACTTATCATGATGGATTATCCATCTTCGTCATCTTTGAGGTTGCCCCGTGCTTCCTATGAGATTAGCGTTCAGATTGATCAGACCCCAGCCTTCGAGTTACCTTTAGGACAGGTAACCACTTCAGTTACCTATGAGACAGGCAACCAAACATTGTTTCCGGAACCAAGGTTTGATGTAGCGATTGGAACCGTGACAAAACAGGTCGGAACCGTGACAAAACGCATTGGAACCGTGAAAATATACCTTGATTACCTTGGAACCGTTCGAAAATGAGTGGAACCGTGATAAACCAGTTGCTTCTATTTGTGGTTCCTCGCTGGCAGCCTGGTTCCTGTGAAAACCGTCGCCGAGGCCTAGTTACCTATGCGAAAGGTTACCAGAAAGACTAGGGAGATTGACTGCTTGAGCTGTTCTCAAACATGCCAAGCTCCACAAACTGAAGGGTCCACTGTGTTTCCGTGGCACGTCACCACCTCGGTTCCACTCGGTCCACATTTCATCTGGGCGTCGGTTCCGTGATGGGCCCATAGGATGCATAGCATCGCTGGGGTCCCTGGCTCCATGACCATTGTGCACCATGGGCGCTGACCATGCGCTTGGGCTGGACCGCTGGACCGTTGGACCGGGAAAGGCAATCTGAGGACTTCTTCAGGTTTACGGCCTTGGAGGACTCATTGCTCTTCATATTCTTCCGAAGAGGACTTTCTAAGAGGACTCACTTCATTCAGTCCCCTGAATTTCCCCATGTTCTCCTGTGTTTCTTGTGAATCTTGGATTTGAACTGCACCACATTTCCGCTTTTTCACATTCCTTCAGCTCCACTGAGCCCTCCAACTGACTGGTTCAGCAAACCTTTGGATTCGCCTCAATGGCATGGATGCATATGGCATCTCTATCCGACGCCAACCATCAGAAACATCACTAAAAATCACGGAGATACAAACGAATACACAGTATAGTACTGTCTACATCTGTGGGCAACCAAAATCATTAAAAAACATATATGTACTAGTATCATATTATCCCATCAGCATCATCAATATCATCATCAATATTCATCGATGATTCCATACATTGCTCCTGAGACCGGGGCCCAGGATCACCTCACCCTGCGGCTCGACACACTTGGCAGACCTGGGCCGGTTTGCCCTGACTATCAACAGCCAAAAATGGGTGGTTTAATGGCTTTAATATGTATATAACCTATATACCTATATACATATATATATGTATATATATATATTAAATATATTAAATATAATTATACCCTATTAGCTATAGATGTGTAATGATGAGTAATGATTCGTATACATACTACGAGTATCCAAAAAGTGACCTTTATGTTGTGGGTGTTTTTCCAATTGGTACCCCAATGTTGACCCGTAGCCTTTTCCTGTTGGTCAAACTACCGGGAGGCGGCTTTTACCAGTGCCCAAAAAAAACTTGGATTCGCTTGAGGCATCACAATTTGTGAAACACATTCTGAATGATTCTCAGTAGGTTTCCAATAGATTCCCCAAAATGGTGCGTCCAACAAAAATATCCCTCAGCAAATCTAGGGACATGGGAGGTAAAAATCGTTAAAACAATGCAGTTTTCCCGCAATTCAATGGCTTTGTCTGAAAACGTGGCATCCCCCAAACCACGGCATCCCGTAGTTCATTACCATTATATATATCCATATGTTTCCCCATTAAAATGGCATAACATTAGCATATATTGGGGATTATTGGGGTATCCTAAGCATGTTAAGACACACCCATGGCATCCCATGGCTGGGTTCTGCCCAAGCTGCAACTTGGCGGAGCCATGAAGAGACTTCAAGGGCTCGCAAAGGACCTGAAAAGGTGGATGACTTCCAAAGACATGCTAAGACCTCAAGAGCTGTGACTCGTTCATACTCGTTCCAAAAGCACGCTATGAACATATGGAAATGAATGATATGATATATATATATATACACATACATGACATATGCATGTATGTATGTATGTAATGTAATGTAATGTAATGTAATGTAATGTAATGTAATGTAATGTAATGTAATGTAATGTAATGTAATGTATGTATGTGTGTAATTAAATGTATATATGCATAGTACTTATTTATCATATATATACATATATATATATATCTTATGAGATAGATATCCATTAGGGTTCGGACAGTTTCTGGAAGAACATATATCCAGTCACCACATGTGATCCCCTGTGTCCCATGCGGACAACTTCCAGCTTGGCCTCAATGGAGAGGTCGAACGTATCTTTGGCCACTTCCCATGAGAATTGTCCCTGTGCCCTGGGCGATTGCTCTCAATGAGCTCATGGAGACATCTTTGAATGGGCGTACTTCGCTGGAAATATCTGTGAACATATGTGAACTTGAGATTTCACCAGAAATCATAGTGTTTTCCTTTGTGCCTTCTCAAGTTGATCTCAAGTCTTTCTTGCGTCTCTTGTCTCATGGAGGCACCGAAAAGTTGCTGCCATGGCAAAATTCACCTCTAGACACACAAAACAAACGACCGTCATCCGCAACATGATGTGGTGACGCACACCCAGAAGCGTATCATGCTGTTCATGGGCTTTGCTTTCAGAATCTTGCACACATCCATGAGGATTTGGGGAATGGGGTGCTTTCCAGACCTACATATCCTACATGCAGCTACTCTCAACCGGTCTGAGGTACCCCCACGCAGCTTGCGAACTCAAGATCATGGACTGTCGACCTTTGCCGCCTTCGCAACCCAGAACAATTACCTCCTCGAGGGGCTGACGTGGCTGGCAGGTGGAATCTCCATCTTCAAATCGCACCAAGATGATACTGACCTAGTAGAGTCGCTATATTAATATACAAATACAGCCCAACCTTCTACTTGATCAGAATCAATCAGAATCATACTTCTTCCACTTGATCATAATCATGATACTTATATAGAATATGGATGAATATGGATTAGTACATTGGTCAAAACTTGTCCTACTATCCGCATGAGCGAAACAGGACTGGTCTCAGGTTGGCTTTGGACTCGTCCTCTTGGTAGAAGCCTTTGGAGCAGACCGTCTTCACTGGGGAGCCTTAGCTCCAATCAGAAGCTGCCCAAGAGCTGAGATTTTCAGCTAGACTTTGGAGAGTCTCCACCCCATCTCTAAACAACTTCAAGTAATATCAAGTAATTAATGTGGAGGAGGCAATATTGAACTACCTCTGATATTTCCATAGATGGGCTGGATTAAAACCATCCCAAAGGGTAGGTGGAAATTACCGGGTTTACCAGACTAGTCATGTAGGAATGGCTTCATTATCAACAAGGAGGAGGTGCTCACTCAGGGCACCGCCAGCCGCAAACCTCAAGCATGTAGACAAGCCTCAGCATTGAGGGAAAAAATGGGCTACCTCAACCGCACATACAATAGGTTTCATATTCTACGTACAGTGTATATCTCTAACAGTGGCTTTGGGGTGATACTTCTTATGGGCTTTCTTGCTGTCAGTCCACTCCAGAGGAAACCTTGAAAAATCCATATTAACCCCTTTGCAACTCCAAGGAATTTCCTTGGGATACTTCAGGTGGCAGAGTTTTGTTTAGGTGGCCATTTATGGGATTTTTGTGGGATTTGATGGTATTTTATTTGGATTTTTATGGAATGTGTTCAAAGTGGGATTTTTATGGGATTTTTTGTGGGATTTTAAGGGATTTTAATGGGATTTTTATGGAATGTGTTCCTGGGTGACCCCAAAAGTGGAATTTTTATGGGATTTTCATGGGATTGTTGTGGGATTTTTATGGGATTGCTGTGGGAATTTGAGGATTTAATGAGTTTTTTTTTTGGAATTTGCAAGGGTTTTCCAGGTATTTATTGGGAAATTTCAGGAATTTATAGTTTAACTAGGGTTTTTTTATGGGAATAATGTTGGTTTTCCTTGGGGACCACCAAATTAGAAATGCATCTAACAAGGATAGCCCCAAAGCCGCTCTATGAATATCATGAATCATAACCTATCATATCCTATCATATCCTCATAAGACCATACTTTTACTATATAGTACAGTAGGTCATGGTAAAGGTCATATATTGTCATTTGTATCTTGGAAAGTTGCGAGCCAGATGAGCCAGTCATACATCTACGTGGGCGAACATCATCTGAGTCCGCTACATACTGCGATCGGCAGCAGTCTGCTTGGGCATCGGCATGGCATCGATGGCAGGTCAGCTAGACATGGCAGTGCAAAAGTGGTGGCTGAGCCTCCACAAATGCCAGGAAAAAGGCATCCGCCTGCAGAAATGTGTAGCTATGCGTAGCTGGACTTAGGATCTTGATATATCTCGATGGAACTTGATGAATCGATAAGTATTTCAGTATTTGTGTTTCATGTTCACCTCTGGCACACTCAGGACCCTCAGTATCCCTCCAGTTCTATGACCACGAAGAGCCCCATTGGATGTAGCCCGTGGAAGGGGAACTCCTGAAAGATCACGAGACTTCAACATCCTTACCACTGCAAAATGCTACCACTACTCCTGCAATCCCAAACGAACACGATCATTAAACATATTCCGACCGAATTGAAATGCTTTGCTGTCAGTGAAGCCTTACGCGATCTTTGAAGCGAACCATGGGAATATGTGTTCATGCCTTTTGTATGTTTTTTCACTTTATATGTAAAAATCTGCCGGCCCAAAACGAGAAAGAGAAGTCAGTGCATTTCGAGCTATGACACTGCCCACCAGTTCCTGAACATCTCAAGTGGAATCAAGTGGACAAAACTGCTCAAGCATACCATATATAGACTAATTCACTGAAAAGTTTGGGGGGTGAGACCCAAATGGGGTGAGAAAACCATCTTTAAAAATATGAGAAAACATAGGAAATTAGGGAAAATAATGGAAGATAATGAAAAAAATATGACAACATGACAAGGGACATAAAAACATGACAATTTGAGAATTTGACAGTTTGCGAGAACTGTGGCTCAAATTTCTCAGTCAGTGCGCTTGGATGGTATCCAGCACGAGTTTGCAATGTCAAGGGCTCAGGTTCGTACAAAGCCTGTGGGCAGATCCATCACATGTGATTCTCAAAGGAGAATCAGGACAGCAGTGGTCTCCTGTTTCTTGTAGGTCAAAACATCTTCAAATGAATGGGCTTCAAATGGCAGGGTCTCACAGAGGGCCAGGTAGGGCAGGGTCTCGCCCATCAAACATCTTCAAATAAATAAGAACAGATGGCAGGGTCTCACACATCAAGGAAGGCAGAATCTCACATAAAGGCAGGGCTTCACAGAAGACAGGGTCTCACCCACTAAACAAAGGCAGGGTCTCACAGAAGGCAGGGCATCATAAAATAAACATAAATAAACAAAGTCAAGGTTTCTCACAGAAGGAGGAGTCTCACAGAAGGCAAAGCCTCACGGAAGCCAGGGTCTCACAGAAGGCAAGGCCTCACAGAAGCCAGGGTCTCACAGAAGGCAAGGCCTCACAGAAGCCAGGGTCTCACAGACAGCAAGGTGTGTCACTCATAGCAGGGACTCACACAAGACATGGTTTCACATCTTAAACAAAGGCATGGTTTCACAGAACACAAGGTGTCACATGTTGAACTGAGGCCTAACTCCCACAGAAGGCAGGGCCTCTTAGAATGCAAGGTCTCAGAGAAAGCAAAGTCTCACAGAGGGTCCAACATTATGAACAAAGGCAGGGTCTCAGAGAAGGAAGGGTCTCACAGAAGGCAACGCCTCACAGAAGCCAGGGTCTCACAGAAGGCAAGGCCTCACGGAAGCCAGGGTCTCACGGAAGGCCAAGTCTCACAGAGGGTTTCGCAGAAAGGCTTCACAGAAGACACAGTCTCGCCCATTGAACAAAGCCAGGCTCACAGAAGGCAGGGGGGTGCCAAGCCTAGTTTGGCTACAAGCATGCGTATCACATATGACGCAATGCAGGGTCTCACACAATAGACAGGGAAATAAAGGATTCCGCACCTGAAGGTGTTTTCACCCGTGAAATCACACGCTCCCGAACTGTTGCTCTCCTCTACTGCTCCCACACGCGAACTGCTCTTGCTCACTTTCTGGTTGGCGGCAGAATGACAGGACCGGCCCTGGACACTCTTCCATGACTGAAGCTTAGGATTTTATATTTGGTCTATACTAGGAGCAAGATTCAATCTATAGACATGCTGCGCATTTTTCGATAACAACAGATGGCAGGGTCTCACACATCAAGGAAGGCAGGGTCTCACAGAAAGGCAGGGCTTCACAGAAGACAGGGTCTCGCCAGGGTCTCACAGAAGGCAGCAGGGTATCATAGAATATAGTTAAGGACAGCTGGTAGGCAGGGTCCGCGCTGATGATCTAGTAAGCAGATTAGGTACACTTAAGTACCCCCATGATAGCAAATTCTGAGGTACACTTCTGCCTACTGGGGTGCCTTTGTTTATATGTTGTATGTAGCGGAATCTGCCTACTGGGGCCGGGGTTCCCACCATTATGTATATAAACAAATTACATATACCTCAGAATTTGCTATCACGGGGGTACTTAAGTGTACCTGCCAACTAGATGGGCATGGGGGTACAATTCTTACTCGGTATTACTAGATCATCAGCGCGGATCCCTGCCTACCGGCCATCCTTAGCTATGAATAGTAGCGGTGGGAGATGCACCCTCTGCCAACTGGTGGGAGTGGCGGTTTTGATTTTTCTTGCCCCTAGTATCCAATACCCCAAGGTCATGAAACACATAATACTGCAGTAAGCAGATGCACCCTCTGCCAACTGGTGGGGGCGGCGGGTGTGCTTTCTTTTTCCTCTCTTCTTTCTTGGTCCTTCTCTACCCCATGGTGGAACTACAGTACTATTTGCTCCTAATTTGCGGGGTTGTATGGGTGCCCGCGCGGACAGGCAGCGTACATGCATACATTAAGGATAGACAGTATAGACAGTGCTAGTGCTAGTGTTAGTGCCAGTGCTGTTCAGCAAATGGAGCCGCGAACTGAGGCGATGTCTCTCTATCTATCTATATATCTATATCTACCTATCTACCTATCTATTTGTATATATGCACATGTCTATGAATATGCTCATTATATCCTCAATGGAAAGGAGTTGCAGTAAGCAAAAGCCACAATATGTTTCGCACCCTTCTGAGGTACACTTCTGCCTGCTACCCCTGGTTGTCCAAAACCTGCGAAAATAGCCCCCCCGACGAACATGCTAAAAACACACCAAATCGGACACATTTTAGGGCAGTAGTAACACTAAATTTCCTGCCTACCGGACGTCTCAGGCTATAAGCCAAGTCAAGGTCTCACAGAAGGAAGGGTCTCACAAAAGGCAAAGCCTCAAAGAAGCCAGGGTCTCACAGAAGGCAAGGCCTCACAGAAGCCAGAGTCTGACAGAAGGCAAGGTCTCAGAGGGCAAGGTCTCACAGAAAGCAAGGTGTGTCACTCATAGCAGGGACTCACACAAGGCATGGTTTCACATCTGAAACAAAGGCATGGTTTCACAGAACATAAGGTGTCACATGTTGAACTGAGGCCTAACTCTCACGGAAGGCCGGGCCTCACAGAAGGCAGGGCCTCACAGAAGGCAGGGCCTCACAGAATGCAAGGTCTCACAGAAAGCAAAGTCTCAGAGAAGGAAGGTTCTCACAGAAGGCAAGGCTTCACAGAAGCCAGAGTCTCACAGAAAGCAAGGCCTCACAGAAGCCAGGGCCTCGCAGAAGGGCAAGATCTCACAGAGGGTCTCACAGAAAGGCAGGGCTTCACAGAAGACAGGGTCTAGCCCATTAAACAAAGGCAGGGTCTCACACAAGGCAGAAGCCTAGTTTGGCTACAGGCATGCGTATCACATATGACGCAATGCAGGGCCTCACACAATAGACAGGGAAATAAAGGATTCCGCACCTGAAGGTGTTTTCACCCGTGAAATCACACGCTCCCGAACTGTTGCTCTCCTCTACTGCTCACACACGCGAACTGCTCTTGCTCACTTTCTGATTGGCGGCAGAATGACAGGACCGGCCCTGGACATTCTTCCATAACTAAAGCTTAGGATTATATACTTGGTCTATGATAGGAGCAAGATACAATCTAAAGACATGTAGCACATTTTTCGATATAAATTAAACAGATGGCAGGGTCTCACACATCAAGGAAGGCAGGGTCTCACAGAAAGGCAGGGCCTCACAGAAGACAGGGTCTCGCCCATTAAACAAAGGCAGTGTCTCACGGACGGCAGGGTATCATAAAATAAACCAAGTCAGGGTCTCACAGAAGGAAGGATCTCACAGAAGGCAAAGCCTCACAGAAGCCAGGGAGGCAAGGCCTCACAGAAGGCAAGGCCTCAAAGAAAGCAAGGGTCTCACAGAGGGTCCAACATTATGAACAAAGGCAGGGTCTCAGAGAAGGAAGGGTCTCACAGAAGGCAAGGCCTCACAGAAGCCAGGGTCTCACAGAAGGCCAGGTCTCACAGATGGTCTCACGCAAAGGCACGGCTTCACAGAAGACAGAGACCATTAAACAAAGGCAGAGTCTCACAGAAGGCAGGGTATCATGAAATAAACAAAGTCAGGGCCTCACAGAAGGCAAAGCTTCACAGAAGCCAGGGTCTCACAGAAGGCAATGCCTCACAGAAGCCAGGGTCTCACGGAAGGGCAGGTCCCACAGAGGGCAAAGCCTCACAGAAAGCAAGGTGTGTCACTCATAGCAGGGACTCACATAAGGCACGTTTTTACATCTGCAACAAAGGCATAGTCTCACAGACGCAAGGTCTCACATGTTGGATGAAGGCCTAGCTCTCACAGAGGCAGGTCCTCACAAAGGCAAGGCCTCACAGAATGCAAGGTCTCACAGAATGCAAGGTCTCACAGAGGGTCTAACATTATGAACAAAGGCAAGGTCTCACAGAAGGCACAGGACGGAAGGCCTCACAGAAACGCAAGCTCTCACAGACTGCAGGGCCTCACTGAAGGCAAGGCCCAACATGTGAAAGAAGGCTGGGTCTCATAGAAGGCAGGGTCGCACATAGGACAGAAGGCAAAACTTCACATGTGAGAAAAAGCAAAGTCTTACATCTGACAAACGGTAGGGTCTCACATATGGCAGAAGAAAGTCCCGCATATGACAGAAGGCAGGGTGTCACACACGAAAGAAGGAGGGGTCTCGCACATGACACATTGCAGGGTCTCACAGATCTAACAGGGTCTCGCATGACAGGAAGGCAAGGCCTCACTCACTGGGCAAACAAATTAAAAAAAGGCCGTTAACAGGACAGAAGGGAAGGTATCAGAGAAGGCAAGGCGTCATAGCAATTTCTCGCCCAAAAAAACATTTTGCAGAAGTCTGGGTGCAGATGGCAAGGTCTCACGGAGGGGAAGGCAGGGTCTCACAGGAGGCAAGGTCCCACATCTGAAAGAAAGCATGGTCTAATATACAAAGGAAGCATAAGGAAAGGAAAGCAAAATGTTTTTTTCCGTGATTTTTATGTTTTTCTCTTGTTTTTACCAAATAATCATGTGCCTTCCATGTTTTTCCTGGCAACCCTGGAAAACATCTAATGGGAGGGGTTTGGGAAGGATTATGGGGTGTGTGGGGAGGTGGGTGGGGGGGTTGGTGGTGGTGGAGGTGGTGGGGGTGGGAAGGGGAGGGGTTAAGGAGAATGGAAGGGGTTGGGCAAAGTGTTAAGGGGGTGTGGAGGGGGGTGGGGGGGCGGGGGTGGACAGGAGGGGGTGTGCTGAGGGAGGGAAGTCTTGCTCGCCCCGTTAATTGCGTTTTCCTCGCCCCGTTAATGTTGTCGAACGTTTGTCGGAGGAGGGGGTGGGAGGGATTAAGGGAGAATGGAAGGGGTTGGGGAGGGTGTTAAGGGGGTGTGGAAGGAGGTGGAAGGGGGTGGGGGTGGACAGGAGGGGGGGTGGTCCTGCTCGCCCCGTTAATTGCGTTTTCCTCGCCCCGTTAATGATGTCGAACGTTTGTCGGAGGAAGGGGTGGGAGGGATTAAGGGAGAAGGGAAGGGGTTGGGGAGGGTGTTAAGGGGGCGTGGAAGCGGGTGGAAGGAGGTGGGGGTGGACAGGAGGGGGTGGTGGTCCTGCTCGCCCCGTTAATTGCGTTTTCCTCGCCCCGTTAATGTTGTCGAACGTTTGTCGGAAATCTGCCCTATTCCGACCCTTCCAGCTGCTGTGAGACGCTGCCTTCTGAAAGACCCTACCTACTAGGCTTCTGTCCTGCGAGATCCTGTTAGATCTGTGAGACTTGCAATCTGTCATCTGTGAGACCCTTCCTTCTTTCGTGTGTGAGACCCTGCCTTCTGTCATAAGCGAGACCCTGTTAGATCTGTGAGACCTTGCAATGTGTCATGTGCGAGACCCTCCTTCTTTCGCGTGTGAGAGCTTGCCTTCTGTCATATGCGGGACTTTCTTCTGCCATATGTGAGACCCTACCTTTTGTCACATGTAAGACTTTGCTTTTTCTCACATGTGAAGTTTTGCCTTCTGTCCTATGTGCGACCCTGCCTTCTATGAGACCCAGCCTTCTTTCACATGTTGGGCCTTGCCTTCAGTCAGGCCCTGCAGTCTGTGAGAGCTTGCGTTTCTGTGAGGCCTTCCCTCCAGTGCCTTCTGTGAGACCCTGCCTTTGTTCATAATGTTAGACCCTCTGCGAGACCTCGCTTTCTGTGAGGCGTTGCATTCTGTGAGGCCCTGCCTTCTGTGAGGTCCTGCCTTCTGTGAGAGCTAGGCCTTAGTCCAACATGTGAGACCTTGCGTTCTGTGAGACTATGGCTTTGTTTCAGATGTGAAAACATGCCTTATGTGAGTCCCTGCTATGAGTGACACACCTTGCTTTCTGTGAGGCTTTGCCCTCTGTGGGACCTGCCCTTCCGTGAGACCCTGGCTTCTGTGAGGCATTGCATTCTGTGAGACCCTGGCTTCTGTGAAGCTTTGCCTTCTGTGAGACCCTTCCTTCTCTGAGACCTTGCCTTTGCTCATAATATTGGACCCTCTGTGAGACCTTGCTTTCTGTGAGACCTTGCATTCTGTGAGGCTTTGCGCCTTCTGTGAGGCCCTGCCTTCTGTGAGAGTTAGGCCTCAGTTCAACATTTGACACCTTGTGTTCTGTGAAACCATGCCTTTGTTTCAGATGTGAAACCATGCCTTGTGTGAGTCCCTGCTATGAGTGACACACCTTGCTTTCTGTAAAGTTTTGCCCTCTGTGAGCCTTCTGTGAGACCCTGGCTTCTGTGAGGCCTTGCCTTCTGTGAGACCCTGGCTTCTTTGAGGCTTTGCCTTCTGTGAGATCCTTCCTTCTGTGAGACCCTGACTTGGTTTATTTTATCTTACCCTGCCGTCCGTGAGACACTGCCTTTGTTTAATGGGCGAGACCCTGTCTTCTGTGAAGCCCTGCCTTTCTGTGAGACCCTGCCTTCCTTGATGTGTGAGACCCTGCCGTCTGATTAATTTATCGAAAAATGTGCTACATGTCTATAGATTGTATCTTGCTCCTATCATAGACCACGTATATAATCCTAAGCTTCAGTTATGGAAGAATGTCCAGGGCCGGTCCTGTCATTCTGCCGCCAACCAGAAAGTGAGCAAGAGCAGTTCGCGTGTGGGAGCAGTAGAGGAGAGCAACAGTTCGGGGGCGTGTGATTTCACAAGTGAAAACACCTTCAGGTGCGGAATCCATTGTTTCCCCCTGTCTATTGTGTGAGTCCCTGCTATGAGTGACACACCTTGCTTTCTCTAAAGTTTTGCCCTCTGCTAAACCTGGCCTTCCGTTGGATCCTGGCTTCTGTGAGTCCTTGCCTTCTGTGAGACCCTGGCTTCTGTGAGGCCTTGCCTTCTGTGAGACCCTTCCTTCTCTGAGACCCTGCCTTTGTTCATAATGTTGGACCCTGTGAGGCCTTGCTTTCTGTGAGACCTTGCCTTCTGTGGGAGCTAGGCCTCAGTTCAACATGTGACACCTTGTGTTCTAAGAAACCATGCCTTTGTTTCAGATGTGAAAACATGCCTTGTGTGAGTCCCTGCTGTGAGTGACACACCTTGCTTTCTGTGAAGCTTTGCCCTCTGTGAGACCTGGCCTTCCGTGAGACCCTGGCTTCTGCTTGGCCTTGCCTTCTGTGAGACCCTGGCTTCTGTGAGGCTTTGCCTTCTGTGAGGCCCTTCCTTCTGTGAGACCCTGACTTAGTTGATTTTATGATACCCTGCCGTCCGTGAGACACTGCCTTTGTTTAATGGGCGAGACCCTGTCTTCTGTGAAGCCCTGCCTTTCTGTGAGACCCTGCCTTCCTTGATGTGTGAGAGCCTGCCATCTGTTCTAATTTATATCGAAAACTGTGCTACATATCTATAGATTGTATCTTGCTCCTATCATTAGCCAAATGTAAACCCTAAAACGTCAGTTTTGGAAGAATGTCCAGGGCCGGTCCTGTCATTCTGCCGCCAACCAGAAAGTGAGCAAGAACAGTTCGCGCGTGGGAGCAGTAGAGGAGAGCAACAGTTCGGGAGCGTGTGATTTCACGGGTGAAAACACCTTCAGGTGCGGAATCCTTTGTTTCCCTGTCTATTGTGTGAGACCCTGCATTGCGTCATATGTGATACGCATGTCTGCAGCCAATCTAGGCTTGGCACCCCCCTGCCTTCTGTGAGACCCTGCCATTGTTTAATGGGTGAGACCCTGTCTTCTGTGAAGCCCTGCCTTTGTGTGAGACCCTCCGTGAGATCTTGCCTTCTGTGAGACCCTGGCTTCTGTGAGGCCTTGCTTTCTGTGGGGCCCTGGCTTCTGTGAGGCTTTGCCTTCCGTGAGACCCTTCCTTCTGAGGGACCCTGACTTGGTTTATTTTATGATACCCTGCCGTTTGTGAGACCCTGCCTTTGTTTAATGGGCGAGACCCTGTCTTCTGTGAAGCCCTGCCTTTCTGTGAGACCCTGCCTTCCTTGATGTGTGAGACCCTGCCGTCTGTTTAATTTATCGAAAAATGTGCTACATGTCTATAGATTGTATCTTGCTCCTATCATAGACCAAGTATATAATCCTAAACTTCAGTTATGGAAGAATGTCCAGGGCCGGTCCTGTCATTCTGCCGCCAACCAGAAAGTGAGCAAGAGCAGTTCGCGTGTGGGAGCAGGAGAGGAGAGCAACAGTTCGGGAGCGTGTGATTTCACGGGTGAAAACACCTTCAGGTGCGGAATCCTTTGTTTCCCTGTCTATTGTGTGAGACCCTGCATTGCGTCATATGTGATACGCATGCCTGTAGCCAAACTAGGCTTGGCACCCCCCTGCCTTCTGTGAGACCCTGCCTTTGTTATCCTTTGTTTAGTGGGCCAGACCCTGTCTTCTGTGAAACCCTGCCTTTCTGTGAGACCCTCTGTGAGACCTTGCATTCTGTGAGGCCCTGCCTTCTGCTAGGCCCTTCCTTCTGTGAGAGTGAGGCCTCAGTTCAACATGTGACTCCTTGTGTTCTGTGAAACCAGGCCTTGTGTGAGTCCCTGCTATGAGTGACGCGCCTTGCTTTCTGTGAGACCTTGCCCTCTGTGAGACCTTGCCTTCTGTGAGACCCTGGCTTCTGTGAAGCTTTGCCTTCTGCGAGGGCCTTCCTTCTGTGCTGCCTTCTGTGAGACCCTGCCTTTGATTAATGGGCGATACCCTGTCTTCTGTGAAGCCCTGCCTTTCTGTGAGACCCTGCCTTCCTTGATGTGTGAGACCCTGCCATCTGTTTTAATTCATTTGAAGATGTTTGATTGGCGGGACCCTGCCCTACCTTGCCCTCTGTGAGACCCTGCCATTTCAAGCTCGTTCATTTGAAGATGTTTTGACCTACAAGAAACAGGAGACCACTGCTGTCCTGATTCTCCTTTGAGAATCACATGTGATGGATCTGCCCACAGGCTTTGTACGAACCTGAGCCCTTGACATTGCAAACTCGTGCTGGATACCATCCAAGCGCACTGACTGAGAAGTTTGAGCCACAGTTCTCGCAAACTGTCAAATTCTCAAATTGTCATGTTTTTATGTCCCTTGTCATGTTGTCATATTTTTTCATTATCTTCCATTATTTTCCCTAATTTCCCATGTTTTCTCATATTTTTAAAGGGGTTTTTCTCACCCCATTTGGGTCTCACCCCCCAAACTTTTCAGTGATAATATAATTAATGAGTAAGTATATTACCCAAAATAACACCCAGTCTCGTAACATTCTTTTCTCAAGCAAATCGAATCTGCTCCCGCTCGGACAAGGGCGCCAGCAATCGATAGACCTCCGCAGGATCCACGTCACCCAGCTTCGCCGACCAGCGCGGCTGCTTGTCCTTGTCGATCAGCGCTGCCCGGACGCCTTCAACGAAGTCAGGTGCCAAGGCGAGGCGTGAGAGAGCCGCGAAGTCGCCTCAGCTGTGAAGGTAACTATAACAAAATAGATACTTTATAAATTACAGTAGTAACAGTGTGACTATCACTGACAATTATTACACATCAACAAAAGCTAGATATTGTAATTTACCTGCATCAATCTCCTCATTTTGTTCCATTTCTTCTGCCACCTTCTCAGCAAGCTACGTTCTAAGGCATCCGTCAGCCGCTGATGCCGCTGATGCTGCGACTTCTGCGCAGCCCATTCGGCGATTTCCAGGAGGCGGACGATGACTTCTTGACACAACGGACACCCTTGACCTAAGAAAATAACTGCAGGCACTCAAGGGGTGTACTGGTTGGGGATGGAATCGATGGATGATTGATTCAGTGGATGATTTAACTGAATTTAACTGCTGGATTTTTTTGGAACAGCTCATGATGCCAAATAGGCCCAGTCAGGCCACTGACTGATAGCTGTGAAATATGTCACACACGCATACATACGAGTATATATATATATATATATTATGTAGTTACACATTACAACTATATATACACACGTGTATATATATATATATGCATGTTTATCATGTTTAGACATAACTGTTGATGGTAGATCAGGGACCTCAAAAGAGTATATAGACAATGTCTTGCTCCTTGCTTTAGTAGTAAATACCCCCCTTGGCCATCTCGGCCCTGACAACAAGCCACATCTCATCACTAATGGAATATGAAGATTTGGGGACTACACTTGTGAACGAAAGAAACTTTGCTGAAGTCAATCTCTGGGTGGCTGAATCCTTCCAGTCGTTGTTTGATCCACTGCTGAGTCTCTGGGTCATCGTCCTTGGGTCAGAGGACAGAAGCTGGATGAAATTTAGGTCATACGGCCAAGTTGCCTATGGATGCCTATGGGCACATCGATGTTGGGTGGCTGTACTCCAATCTGAACTCAGCAATGAATGGTGAACCGATTCAACCTTCTCTAGACCTGCCAGAACTCGGAAGTGGCTTCAAGAGGGCCCAAGCAGCAAATCAGTGATAATCTGGTACTGGACTGGCACTGGTGAGTATCTCTATGCACTGTTTGCACATCCAAATGCCGGTAGCATCGGCCTTATCCAACGACATTTGGGCTCACCTATCTGACCCGAGGTGCAGGATGTGTGACTTGAGCACTGCTACCCCCATATAGCATATATATATATGTGTGTATATATATATATATGTATACTGTATACATCATATACAATCAAGCGTCTCCAGCATAGTTCTGCAGTCGCTCCACAGCTTCTTTGGCTGTTGAAGTTGAGACAAACACGTTTTCCAGAACCTTTTGTATGCCCGGCCTTGTCTTTGCCAGCTCTACCAGCGGCAAAATCAAGCAAAATATAACAAAATCAAACGATCAAGTCTTGCTAAGTCGAAAAAGGATAGGCTCGAGAAATGCTATTTGACATGTCTAACCACCACATTTCACAACTATGAAGCAGCAAAAAAGTATCAAAAATATCAAATATGAACCAACCTGAGGCACCGATGCAAGGAAGATTCCGCTCCAGTCTCATCTGCCTGATATCGGTCCAAGATCTTCACCAACTCTTCGCGGCAGGACTCCGAGGACCAATCGATTTCCTGTGGACTTCACACTTTCTGGAGCCGTTGGTGCGCGAAAATTTCCTTTGCACCAAGAAACAAATAAATATTTACATAAATATATATATACATATATATTTCACAATGTCTGCAATGTCTAGCCATGGCAGTTGAGTTATGATGTTGAAGTATACATTTTTTAGCAAAAAGTCTCATTCACCACCTGGAATCCCATGGACCGAAACCTCCAATTCGTCTCGGAGGGCCACCAGCTGGTCTGATGATATCAGATGGGTGGCCAAACCGCACGCCAATGCCTCCCGGCCTCAGGACGCGAGAACTGCGTCACAGTGTGAAAACACACCAAAAACGGGGTGTCAACCCAGTAATTCAGACACCAGTCCGAGAAATATGGGTGAATATAGTTGAAGAATAAAATGTACGCCAGAGTCAGCCGAACTATGGTGATATGGTCACTTTCTGAAATCTTCTGAATTAAGAAATGCGATCCACCAACCGGAATTGGATCAAAAGAAATGCGTCTGGGACAGCAAACTGGTTGGTGTTTTCACCCCCCCGAAACAATCATATAGATTCATATAGTCATTCAGATCATCATCCCAAATAGGCTTGAACATCAAACATATTTGAAACCACCAGCCCGAAAATCGCTTCCGAGAATCCAGTGAGACGCCAACCAGTCAAGGACATGCACTTCCTATGGCAGAAGGTCCGGATACGACCAAAGAACTCCACAAATGCCAATTATTTTCTGGGAACTTTTGAATGCCTCAAGGAGGTTAACGGACGTCTAGAGATGACTGAAGCTGCACCTCGAGTATACCTCTGCAAAAATCACATCAAAGTAAAATTTCTGACTTTTATTGACTGCGCACATCGTCACTGACTTCCCCCTGTACGGGACTGAAAACGTTGCTCACCGAATTCAAGCTTCCCCACCCCTGGCGTCATGAGAGCAGCAGTTGCGGCAAAGCCAACATCTGGGGTGATGCCGATGACGCACTCAGGCATTGCCAGCAGAGATCGCTCGGTGACCAGGCGGAATTCGGCTGCACAAGCCAAACCCAAACCGAAGCCCATACAAATACCGTCCTCAGTGATCCAGTTGAGGATGAAGCCGCACCCTCCCGAGATTTCGTGATTTGGTGGGTGCCATTTTAGGTTCACACGGGATGTTTTCCACATTTTGAACCGTCTCAATCATGATCTTTTCCTTTGTGGGCGATTCAGGCCAAATTCTCCTCCCGGGCGCTTGCAACACATGGCCCATCTTGAGCAAGAAAGGTCATATTAGCTGTTAAGATCTGCTAGCTCCATAGAATTATATAAGCGTGGAACTGCCAGCAGGTTGCTATGCCAAGCATCCATGAAGCAAATCACCGGAACTCCATCTTCTCTTTTCCGACTCAATGCAGCCACACCCAGGTATTCATGTGCCAACTGCAGTCTGGGGAAACAGGAACTTGGATCTTCCCGGACGGCTTGCGCCACTGATTTTACGTCGCCTCCTGCGCAAAAAGCGACCTTCCCTTCAGTTCCAGCCTGCGTGCTTTGCAGAAGTACCGCCCTCGCTGGGCGTGAAGCCGCTTCTGCGATACCTGGATATTGCCACTCGAAGAACCGCCAAAATCCAAGGTAGATAGAACAAAATGAGCATTGATATGCATTGATTGATATTGCTGATATGAGCCACAATTCATATTTATCCATACTTACTATTCATTGAGGCGGATTCGGGCCCGCACACACACATGTTTATGCATATATTGTTCATATTATGGTCATATTATGGTAGCATCGCGTGCGCAACGAAGTTGAACCACACGCCATAGTTCCAGCGCCAAGCTGCACTTGGCCATGACTTGATCACAGGCATTGAGACTTTGAGGCCGGTCGAGGCTAATGATGTGAAGGCCTTTCTCTTTCAGATCCTGGAGAAACCGGGGTCAGCGGCTCCAAAATATCCTTATCTCAGAGGTTTATGCCAACATCATCTATATACAATACAGTACATAATAATACATAATATGTATATATATATACATATTTCCATCAGGCCCACACCAGAAATCAAGTTGTCAAGTTGGATGGGGGCAACCGACGAGCTGATGCAGCTTGCTGCGGCCAGGAGTCAGATCTCACCGTCTCCTGACACAGTTCATCTGGACTGATGGATACTTCCATCCAACAGGTTGACTAAAAATCAGGACTTCAAACATGACCAGTGAACATGTGTGATTTCTTAGACTTCTCTTCAAAAGGTTTTAGGATTTTTAGGTCAATTACAAATGCATTGCCACATCGACAAGAAGCACCGTGTTTCAGCCTCAGTTCGTGCCAAGCGTCGCAGAGATTACTGGTGGTCTTCAACATCTCCTGGTTCTGCTCTTTGAAGATCCTCAGCTACAGAGTATCACCCTATCTCAGACGTGGGTCAGTGACCCTCCATTAGGCGTTTCAAGCCACCGGGTTTTCTTCAATTACTATAGTAAAGCATGATAAAATATGGATATATACCTTATATTAATTTATATTATACCTATACACCGGATACCGTACTTTGGGAACCAGAATGTTTGGACAATCTCTTGGACCAAGGCACTGACTTCGCACGAAAGCCTGGGCGGCTTGCCGCACCACCTCTGCAGATGTTGGATATGGATGCATTGTTCCAGCCAAATCTGCAGCGCTGAGGCCGTGCTGCATGCACAGAGTTACCTGGTTCCGATAATTGGGCAAGGCATGGCAAGGCGGATTTTTCAGTGAAATATTGTGAAATCATACAAAATGATCAACATGGATCAAAAAGGCAAATTTTTCTGGAGGCCATACTGACAAACAAGATTGAATCGCATATTTTTTTCAACTGTCATGCTGCATCCTATTGGCATCCCCTTCCGAACAGCCTCCGAAATGTGATCGCCAGCACCAGGTCCCACGATGGTCGCACCCAGAATCTCCTGAGCAGAAGATCTGGTGCCTCAAAATCCAAACATCAGAATCAACACATTGAGAGCATAGGACCAAGGAAAAAACGTTTGACATCTTAGATCTCAAGGCCAATACGCCGAATTCTCTCATGCCATCACAGTCATCATCACGGTCACCATCACAATTAAACATCATCATCATAATAATCATCAGCATCAGCATCATCAGCATCAGCATCCTCATCATCCTCATCCTCATCCTCATCCGCGTCCCACCCTCATCCTATTCCTCACCATCAATCATCATCATAATAGCCATAGAGAATAATAAACTATATATAACTAACTGATAATATTTCATGACAATAAATAAGTAAGTAGTCATAAATATCAATAATAACAATAATCACAATAAGAAGGAAACTCATAAAAACATACGTCAACATATTAATCATATATAAACACAAAAAAACACATATAAATATACTATAATATGTGTCATCACCATCTGATTCATCCCATCTTACCGTCCCAGTTACCCCGTTGGGCGCCACACGGAGCGCCGCATAGCCTTCGTCCACGCCATCGCAGCGGTTGCGGTCCACCTCAGCGGCCTCTCGCACGAAGCTGCTGAAGTCCTTGCCTGTCCAAAAAAGCTTGGGATTGGACGATCAATACATAATATAATATATATACATATGCGTGTAGGAAGTATATAGTTATATATCATGTATAGTTTTTTAAGAATATGAGCATATGGATATACCATCTAGTTTTATAGAATATATATTATATATAATATATATGATATATGATATTCCTATCATGGGATTCCTATGGATTCCTATGTATCCATGCATCCATGCACTTATCTCAGGAAACCTCAAGTCTGGGCCCTGCCTGCAGCTTCCAATTCGGCAGCAGACCATCCAACCGACGCAACTTCAGGGTCGGTGTAGGTGGCCCGAGGGATCAACAGCCTCGAGGCTAAGTCCCATGGGTTAGGATGCAACTGACGTAAATAATGTTTACCATGATTCCCCAAATGCACTGCTTATTGGTTATTCCATGTTATTCCCCTTAAATGGTTATTTCCATTTATTTCCCTTGGACCCCCAATAAAAACATTACAACACATCCACCAAGGCAAGGAAAAAATTCTGCCAAAGCACCTCCTGGCATCCATGCGCTCGTCTAACAAGGCATTGCGCACAGCCACGCGTGCTTGCCTGAGATCAGACTGCTCAAGGATTCTGACCGGAATCAATGGGAAAAATTGAATAAGATAAAGTTGAATGAGATTGAATGAGATGCATTCAAGTGCACAGGTTTCAGCAAAAACTCGTTTGTACTTCTGTGGCCGTGGAAAATGTGCAAAAGGTATCAGACTCTTTCCAACACTAGTTTTTCCTTAGGCCTTAATGTCTCTAAACACCATGACTAAGCTGCGACATGCCCATGCCATGCTGATGACAATGCTCAGGATTTTCAGGTCTATAACATTTCTATAACATCACATTTCAATTGTCAGGATTCTGGGGCCGCACTTGAGCTGTGTGCTGTGTAATCGTGTCGCTGATCAAATTTTGCTTCCAACCAGGTATCACAATCAACAGTAAAGGCGTCTCCTCCTCCCCACCCCACCCCGCAAAAACAAAAAAATACTCGGGTAACCAGGAATGTCGACTGAACGCATCCTAGCCACCATTCAGCAGCATGAGTGAAGCGCTCTGGTC